CTGAGAAAAATGTTGACGTGTTCAATACTTATTTTACTCGCTGTATGCAGGGCCCTGTCTAGGGTTATTTAAGTCAATGTCATTGCATTGATTATTACAACAGGTAAGCATTTATCCAAAAATGACCATGAAGTCTGTTACAAACCCAGAGTTGTGATCAAAGCGTCAGTCCAAACATTTCACTTTTTACTGTTTTGGATAAGCTCACACTTCCCATCAACTTCTTCCTTCTTGGGTCTGTTTAACAAAACCAACAATGTTCTTTTTATAGAAGGTTGACAATGTTTGTTGCTTTAACAATTATCCTTTCCACCGAATCTGGGCCAAAAATATCCTGACAGACACCGAATGGAATTCAAACTGGACTCCTTATTCAGTGTTCTCCCAATCATTTTTCGACCACATTTTTGGCTCCTATATTCCCATCTGCATCCATAGGCCATGGGCCAGAAAGAGATCAAGTGACTGATTTACAGTTAACTTTCTTCAAGTAACATTCATCAACCACAAAATGATGTGAGCATGAGTGAGAAGAGTTATTTATGGCCAGAAATTCCCAGCACTGATGTTGTGGTCATGTTGCAATTAGTGTCCCATGTCTCATGAGCATCTTATTTTAGATTTTTCTTTCTCGTTCGGTATTAGAGAAGTGAGAATTGTAGATTTAAAAGAAACCTGAAAATAGAAACATGTAAATTTACACAATACTCCTAATCATTTTGTGTTGAGATATATAGAGTGTGGCTATGTTTACATTTAATTATTTATATGACCCCATTGGATGATACCAAATAAGGAACAATTAGTTTAAAATGAATACAATTAAATTATTGATTTTCCTATGTTTAGTGTAGCCAGACAAATACACTTTATATAGAGTGTCAATCATTCTGTCTCTGTTTTCTCAACAGTTCTCAACGAGAACAATGAAGGGGACGAAGTATMCACTGAGCCTGTCCGAAATCTGCTGAATGGGAGCTTTTAAAGTTTGTGCTTATTTGTATTTTTGATAGGTATTACCTGAGTGACAAGAGAAAAGGTTCTTATGTTAGCCAAAATGTTTTTCATTTTCGTTCTGCCAGGTTTTTAAGAATCTTAACAATGTCCCATGGCTTTATTGTTAAGACATCAATCATGCATTCACCCTCTATTTAAAGGCTTGCATGTCCACAGATGACTTCATCGCCTATTTTATCTAAAACAAAAGCTAACCACAATATTCTCACTGTTGTCATGTGCAACTTTTTTTAGAATACGTGTCACGTGGCCTGCGGGGTGACTTTTGTTTTTGCTGAATTAAAAAATGGAAATAGTTTTTATATCAATGCTAATCGTTCATTTTGTGATTCAATATAATAAAATAAACACATTTAAAATGTGATGGATTTTTATGTCTCAAAATATGCTGCATTAAAGCCAGCACTGACCATAAACTACATCTCCCATAATACATGTCGATTATGCATGGGAATTCCCTGTGGGAGAGTTCAGAGTTTAAGACTTACCACAACTCAAAAGTGAGTAAAACTCTCTTACTTTTACTGTTTACAGTATTTCAGTATTATTTATTTCACATTGACAGTTGTACGCATAGGACTTTTCAGTGTTTATAAGAAGAAATGTTAAACACTGTTTCTATGCATGAAAAACCAGGTAGAGACGATTGTTTGTTAATGGTGTTCAGTCAAAGCAATGAGATGGGCAATGTGACAATTTCTGTTTAGTCAAAGTTAAACTTRAAAAGTTGAAGTTAATTACAAGTGGCCCTTTGAGGGTCACCATAACGCTCATGTGGCCCTCAGCAAAAATGAATTTGACACCCTATCCTTGAATGACATATTTTTTCAAGTTTGTCAATAAATTGCTGCCAATAACCTTATAGTCCAGACTCTTACCATGTTTATTTTACATAATGTGATCTTTATGTTTATATTATAATGCTACAGTCATTTATATACTTGTAATTAAACCATTACGTTTAGCCTCCTCCTAAATGGGTTACTTTGGAAAATACAAGCTCTAAATCAAGCCATGCCTTTATTTAAAAATCCTTTAAAAAACTGCTGTATATCAACTTTGAAGATATTTTAAACAAAAAAGATTTGTTTGAAAAGTCACAGTTGACAGTACCCTGTAGCACACTGCATGCATTTTTGAGAAAAGTTAATAGTCTTTTCATTTATTCAAAAATCAGGCATTACTTTTGCTGTTTTACTGTTTAAATTCTTTCACATACTGTAACATGTGACTGGAATCAAAGTAAATAAGCAAGTTTTAATAATAGTTATTATAAAAGTCCATTTTATTTATCTAAACAAAGTCTTTCTCAGTTACACAGATTTTTGGCTTTGACCAATTCTTACAATATTCAACACGGCCTATACATATTTTATGTTATACTGAAAACATCATATGACTAAAGTTGGAAAGTATTTGTCAAGATACAAATTATTACAAAATAAAGAATAGTTTGGGCAATTATCATTATCTCTTTCTTATTTTAAAAAGTTTTTTTTGGCATTAAACATCTCAAAGTTTGTAGGACTACCGGGGAAATCTTGTCCTGTAGTGTTGCATAAAACTAACACAAAAGATAGCTTTTCTCCTTACTTACCTTCTTTTTATTAACTCAGTTAAAACTGTGGAATCCAAAACTCCTCTCAGCTTTAATCAAACTTGATTAAATTATTAACACATACCTCTCTTTCCATACAGTAGCCTTTCTGAACTTAAAAAGAGTGACCTGAATCAAGGAGCAAACAGGAAATTCATTTGGAAGCGGGCATACAGGCGTCATTCAGCTGAGGTCAGAGTGTGGGTACTACACCATGCTCCAGTGTCAGCCCACTTGTGGAGACCTTTCTACCTGCCAGAGGAAGACACAAAACCTTCCTCTTCAAACAACAAAAGGCCACAGCTGAAAGAAGGGAAGTCTGATGCTTTTGGTGAGGGTGTAGKCCCTCAGGGTCTAAGAACACAGCTGTATCGCCCAGTGAGCCAACGGAAAAGAAAGGTACTCATCAGCAAGTCTAAGCAGACATTTAACTATTGTGGTCAGGAAGGTAACATTAAACTAGAGTGCTCTGTAAGTAAAATCAAGCACTGTAAGTACAGCTCTGTATGGCTGCTCCTTAAGGCTTACCGATTGAATGGAAAGGCACAGTTTGTCCCAGTGAAACTGAATAAAAAAGCCTGCTGTGGCGATATTGGATAGTTGTAGTGTACATCAGTGGTTCCCAAACTTTTTGTCTTCTGACTCACAAAATATCCATGGCAAAAACTTGTGACCTCAAATATTATTAGTCGGAGTACATAAACTTCATTAATAACCCTGAAAACACAGGCTTTTTGACAATCTCAACAGCTTGTACACAAATATAAATACTTATTTATACTTATTTTGTGTTTTTGTAATAATTATAGGGAAAATATTACATCAGCAATTATTTTATTACCCTTTAAATTGATTTCTGGAGATTATCCAAGGTGCTTCATGACCCATAATTGGGTCTCAAGCCCAACTTTGGGAACTAAAGGGCAGTGGTTACCAAACTTTTCAGCTTTTGACCCACAAAATATCAGCAACAGAGACCTGTGCCCCCAACTATTTTTGGATGATAAACATTTGTATCAGGTCAACTAAACATGGGCATAGTAACAATATTTATTATACAACATTTATCCATTTTGAACACACAAACCTCACTCCTTTGTAACAACTAAGGCAAAAATGTAATTAATTCAGAAAATCTTTTCAGGACCCCAGCTTGATGTTTCGGGACCCCACTTTGGGTCCCGACACCAACTTTGGGAAACACTGGTGTACATGTATTAGTTCATTCATACTATTATCTAATTATCTATCATATAAATTGTGTCTATATATTTATCTGGTGTGCAAATTTCAAACTGAGTGGTCACTTTGAGTGATTATTTGGCTTTGTTAAGTGCAAAATGGATTATTTTAAAGCATATCACAAAAAGAGCTTAAAAAGCTGTAATACAACTCTGTTTAAACAAAAAGATCAGCTTGTTGGTTTAGCTTTGCAGAAGAACTAGAAACCACGACAAATCTTTTCCGATAATGCAGTATTTGGGAATAAAAGTATATGAACATATGACAAAGTTAAAAATCAGGCTTGATATGACTTCCAAGAAATACATAACTAAAAACGAAAAACAAAACAAACAAACAAAAACAACTACAACTTTTTAGCTGAATGCAGAACTACAGAATAGAAGTCTCTCTTTTTTTAAAACATATTTTTGGGGATTTGCCATGTCCTGGATGACTGAGAAGCTGCACCAGCGTACAGTAGCCCACCTGTTAAAACTTGTTAGGTTTGACACTAATTTTTAGATTTACTTTTGTTGATTTGCTGAGACACATCAGACATCATCTGGTAACTGGGACCAGACTGTTTTCTAACACTAGGCTATTCCACATCATTTCACATCAACAACCCAAAGCTGTTTTCTCCTAAGCAGAATAAAAAAAATAAAAATAATTATAAATAATAATAAAAATAAATTGAGCAATTTGCCATCATATAGCAAACTAATTAAAGGCACTGCTTGTTTATACTCTCACACAGAGATGGGGAGTACAACAAAAACAGACACCTCACGTTCTATTCTTACTACTGATTCTCTCATCCACTTCCAGCATGGAACTAGACTGACCTCTACGTCATTTTATTCTCCGCCCCTTCGACGCCTCGCCAACCCCATGACTGCCAGTAAACCTGACCAATAGRGTCCGAGCTTTCCAAATATGGAAAACCCAATAGCCCAATCATAGTGAAGGAGGGGCGGGGTTTCTGTGGGCCTGGCGTTCAAGTTCGGTTGCCAAAGGTAAGCTCGGCTGGAAATTTATGAGTTTTATTTAACGTTTAATTTATTTTCGGCCCTGAAATTTACGGCATGGATATATGTATTAGTGTGTTTAATGTTTCAGCTAAAGCAAACAGTGTTTGTTGTCATATTCGCTCGTCTCTTTCTTGGCTAAGTGTACAGCACTGTTAAGTATTCCCAGCCCAGAGAACAACGGTGATTTTTTTTTTTTTGTTGTCATCACTTATGTCAGTCTTTTATTAAATCTGATTAATGACAGTATTATCAGCTGAAAAACGCCCTGGTCGCTGCTCGGTAAAGCTGTCAAAGCAGCCAACTCTGTTATTACTTCGTTAAAAAGAAGTTAGACCGTAGTAAGTTTGTTTTCTGTAATAAATTACAATAGTAATAAAATTACAACTCGTTGCTTTTTGCTTCCATAGTTCTAGTTTTAGCTAACCTCTAGCCACGTTTGTTTACATCATGTGTTCCATAGTATGAAAATAGTCGGTGTGTACTTTACATTTGAATCAAGCCTATGCAGGGAAACACGTGTGAACAGGAACATTTGTTCACAGTAACGCCCAAACAAGCTCTCTCTGGAGTTATTAATTGTTGTTTACTCAATGTTGTGCTTCTTTCAGACAGCTGTGTGAACTGACTTAACCGCTGCGCCGAGGAGAGAACAGGACATACAAAAAAACCACACCTCACTTTTCAGTCAGGCTTCTCTGCAACATCTGAATGGTGCTTGGAGTCGGACAACTTTTCCACCWTTGAACGGGATGAATCTTCAGAACACCTAACCTGGATGTTTTGCCGTGCGAGGGGTTGTGAAAGGCCTACTTTTGGAGTTGCACAACTTTTGAGGAGAAGCATTTCTAAAAGGGAACTGACCTAAAACTACAATGGACCAAGCCAGCGGCGGGGAAGACCCGAATAAACCCTCCAAAAAGAAGTCCAACGAGGATGAGGGTAAAAACAAAAAGCTGGTAGGTATTTAAGTMAATGTTGCATAGAAGTAGAGATTAAGTGAACAGTCACACCCTGAAAATCCACAATTATTGAGAAAGTTGCAGAAAGTTTTGAAGTTAAAACATCTGATTAGGTACAAAACAGCATGTTGTCAGCGCAGGAAATTTCCATTCAGTGATGGATGAGGCTGAGGTATTGATGGGTTGTTATTACTTTTTAATGTATCCCAACATAGAGCGGCTAATAGCAGCTAGATATGAGCAAAAGAGATACTTTTCCACTGAGTGCTTCACTTTTCAAGGCACTAAGTGGATCATATGATTATCTTATCTATGCTCCCTTTGAAAGTTTTCTGAAGAGCACTCTTGTTGTGACAGCTGGACCTGTATGCTGTGCGCTTTCACACATACACARAAAAGTTGTTACTAGGCGACTTACAGCGTGGATGGTGTCAGTGCTGGCTTTATGATCAGTGTGAGTGTGTCTGATTGATAAAGCAAAACTTTGGTCTTCCTGGGGCCRGTGTGTGTGTGAGATAACAACTGAAAGCAACAGTTTGCATATGTTTCATTTATTGTGCCAACATCAGCATGGCCTGGTTCCAGAGTTCAAGTAAGAGAGAGAAATGTGTGTTCAGATAGGRAACAAACTAGAGTCATCACTTGAGCTTGGGTATCATTCTCACTTTTTGTATGGATGAACTATTACCTTACCTGTTTGTTGTGGCTTTTGTATGAAGTCTGTATGAAACTTTTTTTTAACGTTAACTTCAGTTGTGCTGACTGTGTGTGTGTCTTGCTGTCCTGATTATCTGGAACCAACATCTGCCACATTAAAAACAGTGTGAAGAACAAACCACTGCCACCATGCTTTCAGCAGCCAGAGAATATAGGCAGTGAGTAACTCTTTCATCAAAGACAAAAAAAAAATGTTTGTGGGTGAGATTAGTGTGGAAACTTAGACTGCTGTTCAGCTTTTTTGCATGATGTCACTTCTCATTTTCCAGTAGTCAACCTTTTATTAGGTGCTTTACATCATTCTCAGAGACTGAACGTAAATATACAGCGGGTAAAATAAGTATTGAACACGTCACCATTTTTCTCAGTAMATATATTACTAGAGGTGCTAATGACATGAAATTTTCACCAGATGTCRGTAACAACCCAAATGATCCATATATACAAAAAAATCAACCATAAATGTCCAGAAATTAAGTTATTTGTAATAATGTGGAATGGCACASGGAAAAAGTATTGAACACACTTACTGAAATTTATCTAATACTTTGTACAAAAGCCTTTGATGTCAATGACGGCTTCAAGACGCCTCCTGTATAGAGAAACTAGTGGCATGCATTGCTCAGGTGTGATTTTGGCCCATTCTTCCACACAAACACTCTTCAAATCTTGAGGGTTCTTGGGCCTCTTCTACGAACTATGATCTTTAGTTCTTTCCATAGATTTTCTGTTGGATTCAGGTCAGGTGATTGGCTGGGCCATTCCAGCAGCTTTAGTTTCTTTCTCTGAAACCAACTGAGAGTTTCCTTGRCTTTGTGTTTGGGCTCATTGTCTTGCTGAAATGTCCAGCCACGTTTCATCTTCATCATCCTGGTAGATGGAAGCAGATTTTTATCAAGAATGTCTCTGTACATTTTTCCACTCATCCTTCCTTCAATTATTTGAAGTTTGCCAACTACCATATGCAGAAAAACAGCCCCACACCATGATGTTCCCACCTCCAAACTTCACTGTTGGTATGGTGTTTTTGGGCTGATGTGCAGTGCCATTTGACCTCCAAACATGATGTGTATTCTGGCATCCAAACAGTTCAATGTTGGTCTCATCTGACCAGACTATATTCTCCCAGTATTACACAGGCTTGTTTAAATGTTGTGCAGCAAACTTTAAAGGAGCTTCAACATGCTGTTTCTTCAGCAGTGGAGTCTTGTGTGGTGAGCGTGCATACAGGCCATGGTGGTTCAGTGCATTACTTATTGTTTTCTTTGAAACAAACGTACCTGCTAATTCCAGGTCTTTCTGAAGCTCTCCACAAGTGGTCCTTGGCTTGTAACTGATGCCATCATTATGCTTTGCAACAATAAGGTTGCAAAGGTCTTGAGAGATCTCTTTACTTTTACCCATCATCAGATGGTTCTTGTGTGATACCTGGCCATCATTTGGGACTGAACCAACTGATATTAATTTTCACTGACAAGGGACAGGCTTGCTTTCTAATTACTGAGAGAGTTCAGCTGGTGTCTTGGCTTTCCATGCCTTTTTACACCTCCCTTTCTTCATGTGTTCAATACTTTTTCCCTGTGCCATTCCACATTATTACAAATAACTTAATTTCTGGACATTTATGGTTTGATTTCTTTGTATGTGTGGATCACTTGGGTTGTTACCGACTTCTGGTGAAAATTTCATGTCATTAGCACCTCTAGTAATATATTTACTGAGAAAAATGGTGACGTGTTCAATACTTATTTTACCCGCTGTAGTTCTGACGTGGACTCAGAAGTTGAAGCCTAGAATGAGACGAGCTTCCCTGTCAGCCTGTTCCAGGACAACTTTTAAATCCAGCATCTCCATGTATTGACTTTTTGATTCACTTAGTTCTTACCTTGCTGTTGTATGTTCAACTGTTTCTATCACGTTTAGATGTAATTAGTTTGCCTAAAATTAGATTAGAAAAGCGGATTCTTGGAAACTTCAAAATGACATTTTGAGATAATTTCTCACAATCTAATTAAATTATACATAATTGCAAACAGCATTTTTGTCATGTTTGTTACTTTTTATTTTGTCATTGTGATTTTTTGACAATTAACAATGTTAATGGAATTCAGTCATGGATAGTTTGGTTCTCAGCTACTGTTATTTGTAAGAACAGGTGTACCTTGGTGGTGGTTGTATTTAGAGAGGTCATTTTAAAGTATTTTATTTCTTATCCCTGCAAACCTACACAGCCTGGCCAAAAAGAAAAGGCCACACACACACTATTTTGTTGGACCACCTTTAGCTTTGGTTATGGCACGCATTCACTTTGGCATTGTTTGGATAAGCTTCTGCAGTGTCACAAGATTTATTTCCAGTCAGTTTTTTATTAATTTTTCACCAAGATCTTGTATTGATGATGGTAGAGTCTGACCGCTGTGCAAATCCTTCTCCAGCACATCCCAAAGATTCTCAATGGACTCTGTGGATTCAATTCATGTGTGAAAATGATGTCTCATGCTCCCTGAACCACTTTTGCAATTGCAGACTGATAAATYCTGGTATTGTCGCCTTGGAATATGCCCGTGCCGTCAGGGAAGAAAAACAATCCATTGATGGAATAACCTGGTCGTTCAGTATATTCAGGTAGTCAGCTGACCTCATTCTTTGAACACGTCCTGTTGCTGAACCTAGACCTGACCACCTGCAGCCACCCCACATCATAGCACTTAGTTAAAACCAGGTGGTGACTTTTTATTTGGCCAGGCAGTGAATATGTTCTTGGACAGTTTACTGTACCTCTGTTTATCCTGGTATGCCTATCATGAGTGGGAATAAACTGTGCTAAGATTAGGTTTTTATTAGGCTTGTGTATGATTATGTCAAGACCTTTTTAATTTCTGTTGCACAGTACTATTGTATCACACTAGCTGCGTTTCCATTGACCATGAAAATGCACAAATTAGATTTCCGAAAATAAATTTGCTCAATGGAAACACGTCAATTTCGAAAAAACTTTTATTTTTTCAACAAAATGTTTTTGTGCTAGGATGGGGTGGTTTTTCGGCCCTATCGAAATTGGTGTGTTTCATAAAACCGCAATGGAAACACTTTTTTTTCGTCACGGGAGTCATGTGATCAACACCTGGCTGTTTCTACTGGCGAAAAAGATGACGACGAAGAAGACAACAGGAAGTAGAAGTAGTAGTAAAATCAACAAAGTTTTAAAAGAAAGTAGTAAACTCACTGACAACAATTTCCCAAAAAACGCTGCATACGTAGCCGCTCCCAAGTATAAGGGGCTTGTCGCTCGAAAGCCTCGATAAGACGCAAACGTCTCCTCTGATGATGAGCGCTAATGCCATGGTAGCAATATGCTATGTGTTTACATCCATTGCCACCATGTTTGTAATGACTTATCGCGAGAACAAACGTATTCACTCGTGACTTTAATAGCATTTCTTACTTAATAGGAACACCGCAGTAGCTAAACTGTGTTTTTTCGACATTAACAGAATATTGACAACGTTTTGCACACATTTGCAATGGAAATGCAGCTATTTTTAAGCCAGTATATTGGTTCGGCATTTTATGCAAAGGCTACATTTTGAATTTGTTTTCTTACAGTCGGTTTACTGTTGTGACATGTGGGCATCTTCACTAACATTGATGCTGTACGTAAATCACCTATTCTCTGGATTATGACAACACTTTTAAGAACTTACAGACTGAGTGTGTATGACCACTGCAGCACCCTTTGCACAGAAAGAATGCAGACTGAGATGAGATTTCCTGCTGGTGAAACACAGCCAAGCTAACATTTGGATGTATGACATAGGCTCCATTTTTATTTGGACCTAAAGTAGGAYTGTGGAGATGCATTAAAATACCAGTTGTGACCACATGAACTTAAAGCATCCATCTGGGGCTGGATCACCCAAGATGCATAGTAATACCAAGAAGATATTAATCTCAACTGGGTAGGAGAGACTGACCGCATGTCTGACTGGTTGAATTAATTAACATTTTGTTCCTGTATATGAAGTTGTCCTAAAGCCTTCATACAACAGAGAGAAAATGTATTGCTGTTTATCTGAGTGGGGTGTTGGAAACTTGAAATTGCCAGTTGTTTAGAGTAAACTTAAGGTAGAGGAAAGTTTGACGATAATAAGTGGCAGACAGGAAATCCCAGAGTGAACTCAAGTGGCATGTTCTCCCAGAGCCGGGGTGTTGTTTTGAAAACTTGTGAGGACAGCGTGCAATGAATATCCTGCTTCCCAAGTTTCAAATGACTTCACCGC